GTGGTGGCGCTGCCGGGAGCGGGGTAAGCGGCGGGGCGGCCCCCGCTCCCCCTCGCGCCCCGCCGCCGTTGCGCGCTCGGCGGGCGCGGCAGCCCCTGCCGCAGAGACGCGGCGGAGCGATGGGCGCGCTGACCTTCGCCGGGCCGCGGGCGTGAGGGCAGCGGCCGGGGCTCGTCCCCCTGCGCTGCGAGCGCGTCTGCGTCTCGTGGAGGGGCTCGCGGGAGCGGCCGGCAGCGCGGCTCGAGGGCTGACCGGCTGTGGCAGCGCCGTGCGAGCGCCCGGGATACTGGTAAACAGCGTCGTGTGATGCGGGAAGAGCGGCTACAAGTTCCCCCGCAACCCGCTAGCTGTGTTGCAGTCTGCACTTGAGACATGCAGCCTTATTCCTGCGTGGAAACGGGCAGACCTCTTGGGACTCCTGCGCAGCAGAACAGCTCTCCGGGCAGCGCTAGCTCATTGCCTTGTGGTCACCTGAGCTTATTGCTTGGCTTAGAAAGCGTTGGAGTTGGCCTTCTGTTATCTTGTGTTTTTTTAATGTTAAATTTATGGGAAATATATTGTTAAAGGTGTTTGTAGTCCACGCACGTGCCAGCCTGCGGTGAGCTTTGAACAAGATTAGCAGAGTAAATGTTGACATCCTTAGATGAAAGGGACAAATCCTTTCTTTCCTCACTTCGTATCTGTGGTCATACCACAAGGGGTAGCAGACGTAGTGCTGGGCTTGTTTTGGAGAAAGGAGGAATGAGGAAAGTGGGACAGATCTGTGGAAACCGAGGTCCCGCTGCCTACAGAACAACCTGTTTGTGGTCTCTGTCCCTTCCAGTTACCTCCCACGGCTCTTACTGCCCAAGCAGATGAGCAGGGTGCGAGGGTGCAGATACCAGCAGAGCAAACCTCAGCTCATCTGTTTGGAACAGCCACTGCGGAGAAACAGAGGGAAGCAAAGGGACTTGCACCTACTAGTAAGTGATGCTTGTCAGGCGTTTACCTGTACCTTGAGTATTTTTCTATTTCTGTTTCTACGTATTCTTCTATTTCCTTATTCTTCTGTGTTGCCTTAAGAGTACAGTGTGTATCACAGACTGTTGTGATTTGCTTCTAATAGGAGAGACTTACTGGGGTGATTATTGCACGGTAGAAAGGCTGTCTCTACAGGAAGAACAGACATCATTGCATGATTCATTGTGTGATTTTCCAGGAAGATTTAAAAAAAAAAAAAAAAAAAACACACCTTTTTCAATGGTGGTGGTTACAGAAGAGATGGCTTTTATCAAGTTAGGTTGCTGGCAGCAATCTTGTGACTAGGCCGTATAGATCAGCCTGGTTTATTTTAGTAAATGCCTAATAGTGACTGTTGAAATGCTTGAGAGACAAAACAATGAAATTGAGATTTTAAGTGAAATTTTCCAAATATTATAGTAAGAGTTTTCACTTGTGGAGCTGAAGCTTTTCAGATTTAAAAATAACAAGAAAAAAATAACTTAAGAGGGCAGTTCCTGTTTACACACTGCAGTAGAGCTCTTCTGCTGTTGGTGGCAGAGCTTAGAACGCCAGTCCTTGACGCTCCTTATTGTCCTGTGGTTAACACAGGAGTGTGAGACTTTGAGAGCAGAAGTGGGGAGGAAAGAAGTAGTGTAAAGGCCATCTTTTTGTACAGCAGACTAAGGAAGAACATACATATGTCATTATCTCTTTATTTCCTTGCTGATTTCTCTGTTTTTCCTGCTAAAGGTCCAACACGAAACTGAAAACTTTTCTTCCTTCTTTATAAGGGGAAAGTAGCATGGGTTTTGCAGCTAACTTAAACACTGATATTTTGATATATAACTTACATAAGCCAACTATATTATCACTGTATTATGAATTTTGTGTGGTTGTATGATAAACATGGTAAAATATGCTAAGAAGCTCCTTTTATTCAAGTTTTTAATTAATTAATCAAAGAAAATGCTTATCAAGTAAGCAGTTGAGGTACCACTTCTGCATGGTAGAACATCACCAGAGCTAGAGGCCTATTCTGTACCTGTGTAAGAAGTTTGCTTAAGAATAAAATTCCCAGAAGGGCAGGTGGTTCTAGAAAAAGATATTAATAAATATCAAATAAGAATATTTATTAAAATAAATATTAAAAGATAATATTTATTTTTTATGTCCATTAGCTACCAGCCAGAAAATGACACGATAAAAGGGACCTATTTTTATATGATATACAGATGCTTTTGATTTTGAGAGATTTTTTTCACCTTTTCATTTTCCTTTTTAAACAATAATCCAAAGTGCTAGTCTTTGCAGGAATATTTGACTACTACTGGCAACAGCTATACTGAAAAGGAAATTTTTTTTTCAGTGTCTCTGTAGCAGTAGCTCTTTTGAGTAACCAGTTGGCACATTAGAATTTTAATAGGAGAAAACCTAGGAAAAAGACACATAGAACAGTTAAAGTAGGTTGATGTAAACTTTCCTGAGAAAAAAATACCTGAGGAAGTCTGTGATACTTGCTTTGTGTGATTTACCAGCTTCATCTGAGTTCCTGAATGATCCATGTCTAGCAGGATGGTGCATTTTAAAGCCAAGTTGTAAATCTTGTGGGTCACATCTAGATATTATAGTTGTAACTTGCTGAGGAAATAGCTTTACAGTAGTAAAAGGGGCACAGAGTCACCTTGGGGGTGGTACTGCCCAGGGTGTTGTTTGGTGTGATTCCCAGCAGTGCTGCCCCATGGCCCAGTGGAATAAAGCTGTAAGAAGCACTGGGAAAGTGCAAACACAGTAAAAGTTAGTGCTGACATTTGGCAAACTCCTCAAGGACTCTGCTAATGAGGCTGCCCTGTCCATTCCGTAGCTTGATACTGGCCTGATACTCTAAGAAGCTTTGATCCCATTGATTGAGGGCTTTTTATTGTTAGTAATATTTATTTCCTTCTGACTGAATTGCTGTTGACTCACAACAAATAGGAGTTTTGCTTTCGACTACTGAGAAGAGATACTAAAACAAATCTGAAAGGAAGTGACACCTGAGTTCTTGCAAGGAGTAAAGAGAAAAGACTTAAGAGATTTTGTGAAGAAAACCCTGCACAACTGGATTTACAGAAACTAAAAGAGTGCTTTTCACATAATAATAACTTTCTAGAGTTATGTGAAATAACTGTAGCACTTACCATAGCTTTTTTAATTTACATTATTTGGTTGCTGTATAGAGGTTTTAGTTAAATATATATATATATTTTTTGTCAGATGATTGAATTAATTACATAAAATTAAATAACGTTGGTCACTGTCATATAGTTATAAAATGGAGATACTTTAAAGGAAATAGTTTTTGTCAAATGTATTGCTCTACACAAGTTTCTCCCACGACACCAAAATATTTGAAACACATGGCAGAGTAGTTAGAAATACATAGTACATGCATATATTAAAATGTGACCCTAGGAAATGCTGGGAAAATGCCATAGTAGTGCTGCATGCTTTCAAATGACTTCTAGTTGGTTTATTTTCAGTTGTGTGCAACTATGAATTCTGTTATTTTTTCATCACCATGCGCATACCTCATGCTGTGGCACATGGTTTGCTACTTCTGTTTTATTTCACACACACAAAAAACACTTGCTCTGGTATTGAAGCTGTCCTGTGCATATGGATATTAGCTTAACTATATACAGCAGAAATCAGAGATCAGAATGATCTGATTGCTTTTTCACTTTCGTTTCTTTTACTTGTATGGATTTCAAAATACGGTTAATCAAATCTTTGTTTCAAAACAGAAATACTTCTTATTTAATATGGAGTATCATTGTTCTTACATTATTTTAGTGAAATACCAAGATGAGTATTCAAAAATTCTAGATTTCATCAAGTAGAACAAGAATTCTTGACTTCACAAATTCTGCTGTTGGTTGCCCAATTTCGGAAAGTTGTTCTAAGCACAGATAATAGATGAGGCGTTTTTGTGCTGTTAAAACTGTGGCCACTGTATCTCTGTGCACCGGAAACCTTAGTTCACATATTTAACCACGTCTGGCTCAGTGATTTCTGCCATTTATTACATGTCACTTAAATGTAGAAATGCTACTGTTCTTTAATTCTCAGGTAAACTCTGTTTCCAGTTTTATGAAAGTGTTTATTTAAGGTAGTCAAAACGATTAAAAATTTAAGTGTTCATCTGATGACAAATGTTGCACTCCCCCAAAGTGCGCTTGGCTGCATAATGCTGGCAGGTCTGCATAGTCAGTAAGCAAATAAACCAGGTAAGAGCAAAGCTCCGTTTCCCCAAAGTGACCATAAAGAAGAAGAAACATTTGTGGAAACTCTTAAGAAATTACGTGAATTCATTCTTCCCTTTGCTTTTTCTAACTTAAGCTGTGATTTCTTGATTGCTTTGGACTAACTTGACCTAAATACTAAATACTTTTCCCAAAGATACAGTTCTTATTTTGTTTTCTTATCTAGTCATGAAAATATGAAAACAGTACTTCAGCTTTTTGCAGCTAGCTTGTTGTGTGATTATCATGAGAACTTTCGCATCATCTACTAATTCCTAAACTTTGGTTTTCATTCCTTTTCCATGTTACTTCCACACTGTACAAGATCATTTAGGAAGAAACCTCACTGAAAACGTCTCTCTTACAAAAACACTTTTTTTTCCTCAGTCTCTTACCTTTCCTTCAACTGTATAAAAATCGTTCCCCTTAGCCTGTGAGAAAGTCTCTATTGATGAGTCTGTTGGGAAGACCCTACTGATAGATTTTTGAAAATACAAGTATTGGTGGGTAGAAATTGCTGATCTTTAATTTTAGACTCCTTCTGATAATGACTGTGTTGCTGTGAATCTGCTATAAGCTTTTCATATGCATGCAATAAATGTGGTCAAGAAATTTTCTTAAAGTTAAGAAAACTTGTAGCAAAATTTATAAATAAATTCCTGGGGCCTCTCCCTGTCTGGCTGGAGAGCTGGAAAAGTGCCAGATTCCGCCTTGCTTTGGATATCTTCTGGAAAATAGGATAAGGGTCTGAGTTTTGTGAGGAAACAAAGGAACGAGAAAATCACTTGTTAGTTGCATGTTCCTGCAGTTGTGTCTCTGAACACTACTCAGAGCTGACTTGCAGGGGATGCAGTGTGATTTTTTAGTCCCAGGAGCCCTTATTCAAGTTCCCAGGCTGAAGCTATTAATAAAGGGCAAGGCAAGTCCTTAGCCCTGGAAGGTTTTCTGAAAAGCTCGCTGCTTTGCTGCTCGTGCAGGTAAGCGGCACAGCCAGTGCACTTACTCTGCCAGATCTGGAGAGCACAGGTTTCCATGTGAGGTGTGTGTGCTAGGCTTGCATGAAATTTCTGTGAAAATGAAATGTAGAATTAAGTGGTTTATCGGTGAACTGTCGTTTTGTACCAAATGAAGTGTTTTGCTTAGAAATAGAAATTATTTAATCTGTCCTGAGATGATTATTTTCTGGGAAGCCATCTAGTTTTTAAAAAAGCACCATACACATTAAAGCACACACAGGTGCATGTGGTTAATGCAGGGGGCAGCAGGCAGGCAGCTGCTGGTGTATCCTGGCCCTGAGGCGGGGTTGCCCTCTGCAACAGATCTCTCACGAGCCCCAGGCTCCAGCTGTAGGCACAAGCTCTGCGATCCTCACTTGTCACTAAATTGGCCCTATCTGATACTTTATCCTTTAAAGTTATCTGAGGTGGTTTAATTGGCAGCATTTGCATGGGACCAAGGATAGAGATTGTGACCAAAGTTCATACAACAGTGGAACAGTCTCTGGATCAAAGCTTGAATAATAACCAAAGGAAACTGTGTTGTTTTTGCAATTCATATATGTTTGTTTAATAAGACCATTAGCAGGCTTCTTCCTGTGACTGTTTATTACTTCTTTAACTATTTATTGAATACTTGAGTCTTTTCTTTTTCTTTCATCAATTTTTAATATCATATTAAAGTCTCTCAAAAAAACTTGCACAATTAGAGATAAAATTTGGCTGTGTCTGATGGAAAACAGGGAAGGGAACTGCTGTGTCTTGGGAGCCAGTTTGCCTTGTGTCAAACCTGGCTTACATCCTAACCTAAGAACAGCTCTGAGGCTTTTACTTTTAAACGTTTCTTTAGCTCGGAAATAAGGATGGAAGAACGTGGGGACCTCATGCACTTTTTAGGCTGGAATCTTCTTATACCACCAATGGCAGTTTAGCGAAGTGCACGTTTCAGCGAGCTTGTGCTGTTTCTTCCCCAGTTCTTCTGCCAGAAGAAGAATAAAAAAGACTTGACAAGCTAGAATAACTGTTGTCTTATATGTCACTATTCTAGCCTGGTGAAAATGTCACTGAAGTCAAATAATTAGTGCTTCTTGAAAAATATAGAGCCAATTTGATTCTGATGATTTATATTTAAAATGATGCTAGAAATCCTGTAAATACAAGGAAAAGAAATCAAACTATCCAAACAGTTTGTTAATCAGTCCTGGATCCTGGGAGCTTTTTGCACTGGTGAATGATTGGGTTAGAATTTCTCCTGTCCCAGAGAATGGCAAGGAGGGAAGGTGCCCAGCTGGATTTCATTCTTACTGTTTAGATTTTGAGTGTATGTCTGTATTTACAGCAATCATTTAAATACTGGTCATAAACTTTAGCATTAGAAACAGCTTTATATTTGAGTAAATGTTCCTGTAATCTCCATCTCAACATTTTTTAGTTGTGTCAAATACACTTAACAAATAAAAGTAGTTATTAAAATATATCCATTAAGAAGAAAATTGCAAAGCAAGAAGATATTGCTGGCAAGCTTGCGCTGACCTTAATGGAAGAACATTTGCTCTTGATCTCCTGCCAAAATCCACGGGTAAACGAACTAGCAAGCCCTAGGCTTTCCTTGAAGAGTTCCTGCCCTGTCCTCTCTGATCTCGTCAAATGAGAGGTTACTGAGACAGCAGGACAGACCTCTGACTGCTGTGCTTGGTAGTGGGAAACTGTTAAAAGCAAATTTGGAACTATTCTGAGATTTTAAGAGAGCTTTGTGTTTACTGACTGGAGGAGGAGTGAAGATGAGGTTTTGTTTTCTCACATTTGAGTTTTTCCTATTATTGAGGACTACCTTTGTGTGTTAGGTGAAGGATGATCAGTTAGTCCTGACAAGAGAAGAGCACAATTTTCACTTTCTTAAATAGTTCTGGTAATAATCTCAGTTATACATTATAGCTTCATTTATGTTTTAAGCTGTTGAATTGTTTTTATTGAGGCTCTGCAGAAGAGGAACCACAAATTCTGTGATAATCCACAAAGTAACTTAATGGGACAGACAAATAGATATGGGCAAAATTGATGGCTTGAAACACAGTGGCATCTGTGAAACTCTGCCTCTCTGTTTTATTTTTAGGTCATGGCTGAGCAGAGAAGCGTGTGGAGCTTGTGTGACATGTTCAAGAGAGACTTCTTGAGAGGTGACATGTGATTAGTTAGTGCCTAGGTGGCTTGATGGCTCTCGCTGACTGCAAACCAAAGCCATCCTTCTACCAAAGCAAAAAACAGGCAGAGCACGGGCTGACTGCAGAATGCTGTTTCCAAGGAAGTGAATTGTGAAGAAGGGACTCATGAATTTCGATCGCGGAGAATTGGAGAGCATCTCTGGTAAGCTGGAAGAACAATTGCATTATACATCCCAAATAAATCTCATATTTCTTGAAAAAGCTAGCTGGAGACCTGGGTAGAGAAAACATTAAAGCTTTTTTTTATTTCCTGAAGATAATTTTTATCTTCAGGAAATAATAGATAATCGTTGTATGCCTTGCATAGTTATATACAGAGTATTTTAGCATCTTGAACTGATTTTTTTGTCCCCTTCTCAACCCCCACCCCTCCAAGCAATTATGAAAAGATGTGGAAAAATAGGAAGAGCTAAACTTCCCTTTCCCTATTTTGGGTACCATGTTCACATGAAGTGTGATTCAGCGGGGATGATACTGGAATTTATATTTCAGCTGCCTGATTTCAAGACAGTATGCTGTTGATTTTCTTGTAGCTACTTTAGATTAGTTTTTCCAACCTGTGTTTTATACCAAACAAAAAAGAGAAACAGAAAAAAAAAGGGGAAAAGGGTTTCCTTCGGGAAAAGAGAACTATATCATGCTAAAGCCAGTGGATCCTTACAAAATCCATAGCTGGTGTGTTTGTTCTTTAGTTTTGAGAATGAAGAGGAAAAGCAGAAATTGAAGCTTATTAAATACACCATATTTAAGAAATGTGAGGCTTGACTGCCCTCTGGGAAGTTACAGAATCAGTTGAGGATGAAAATTGTGAATATTAGAGTATCAATCACAGTATTGAGTCAGTAAAAATTCTGATAATTTGTCTAGAGAAAAAAAATTGCTGAAGGTTCATAAAATCTTTATTAACATATAGAATTTGCACCACTATGGTGCCTATGTAGCACATGTAATAGTAGTGTGCTTAGTTTTGGTGGCGTGGCGTTTGCTTGCTTTTAGATGTCTGCTCCAGTGAAGACCTTCCTGAGGTAGAGCTGGTGAGCATGCTAGAAGAGCAGTTACCAGAGTACAAATTACGAGTGGATTCTCTGTACCTGTATGAGAATCAAGACTGGATCCAGCCCCCTACGTGCCATGGCCGTCTTCCTGAAACCGCTTCCTCGCTTCGTGATGAGGAGACCTTCCGTTACATGAGTGAGTGTTTAAGGCCTAAAGATTTTTTGCACTTAACTGAGGAGAAAAAAAGAAAATAGCAAGTGGTTAATATTAAAATGTAACGTTCAAATCTACAAAATTCTGCACAGGAGGAGCAATAAGCTGAATTCAGAGAAAATGCTTGTAGCTCAGCTCTGCCATTCTAAGAGCTGACCTAGCCTGTCCCATGGCTGCATGATCATTTGTTTTGACACAGAGGTAAGAATGGAAACCTGTGGCAGGGAAAAAGAGGCAGGAACCCATAATTGTACTAGATTAGATGTGACACAAAAGACACAGAGTGAGGAGCAGTTCCGTTTCCAGGAACATTAATGATGCTGTGGTTCCTTTGTAGATGTTCACCATTTGTTTTGTGTCAGTGCTTCTTCTGAAATGCTGTTAATGGTTTCTTTTGGAGATAAAAATTTGGGAATGCCAAGTAGCTTGGTACTACATCATCATTGATCACCGCCTTCTCATTTTTAAAATAAAAAGGGCCTTATGGCTATTATAATTACAGCAGTTATAAACAAAACAGATAGTTGGTCTTTGGAAAGAAAATGTCAGCTTTGGGCAATCTGAGGAAAACTCTCCCCTTGACTATATTAAAATCAAATGTTTTAGAAGGCTAGTGAAGAACTGAACGGTTACTTGCCTGTACTTTTAAGTATTTTCCTATTGCAATTTCATTTTGGAATGCTTTCAGAAAAATGGGGGAGTCCTGTTTGGGAAGAACCACTTAGGAGAATGAACTTGGTGTTTAGATACAGCTTATTACTTCTCAGTAATGATTACCTTTTTCTTGTATGTTCCACCACCGAAAGCTTTTTGCTGGTGCTCCACCCAGGGAATATAGCAAAAGAGTAAATAAAGTACTACCTTCTAAGCATGTAATGTCCCGCAATTTAAGGAGATCTTTACTCTATTGAACTTGCAACCTTGGAATTCTTTTTAAGTATGGAAAGTATTTAAAAAGGCATTTAATGTTTATTGCTCTATTTATGATAATAATATCGCAAGCCTAAACGTTTTTGAATTGATTGAACATTCTTATAGTTCCCTTGAAGCCACTGTAGTCACTGGGGTGTGTACTTGCCTATACATTCAATTCTAAAGAGGTGGGATCAGAGTCTGTCGGTGTTGGAAACAAGTCCACAGAAAATGCAGCTTTGCTGAGGCTCTTCCCAGCGTGATTAAGAGCAGAGCTCTCTGAGAGCTCTCCCTGCTAAGAGACAGCCCTGCTGGCAGTGTGAGCTTGTGTTACCCGGCCATGGTGACAGAGGCAGGGTTTAAAACACAAGGTCTTCTGTTTATTATTTAATTGCTTAGGGACTGCAGAAGGTGGGGCCTTCCTCTTTCACCCACTGAAAAATACTTTTTAACTGTAGGAAGAAATGTCCTGATTTTGAATTTGAAAGAGATTTTTGAGTGTTTGCCATAGCTGTTTTCTTGACAGCCTCGAAAATGCCCTCTTACAGTGATGAAAGTGAATCTTCAGAATGAGTTGGTCTTACAACTTTGCATTTTATGATAGCCTGGATACTTCTTCATGCCAGATTAAAATTTAATCATGCTACTGGGATGCGAAACACTTCATGTTAATGTGAAAGGATCACTGGTGGGAATAACAGACAACTAATCCCATCATTTAAGAACACTCTTGTAACTGCCAAATCAAATAAATTCAGAATAAATAAAGCTTACGTTTCTCCTAGAAATTGTCCACTGAGTTTGACCATAGTCATCTTCATATTAGTTCTTTTGAGCCTAGCAATTTGTAGGAAGACAGATACAACCACGAATGAGGATTCAGTTATAGTCTGTAAACATACTTCTACATGAAGTTTATAGCTCTTTCACTAGTGACTATAACTGTGAATAAATACGACAATTTATTAAAACTCATGCTGATGAGGCATAAGTTGGGTTATCTCTGAGTTTGTTTCCAATGAGAGTATGTGTGTATATCTATGGAAAAATTGTTATAATTTTTTTCCAAAAGAGTATGGTAGGCTCATGATGTGGGTCAGTGTGCAGCCTGTACAGCACGCAGGGAAAAACTCAGTTGATTACACTTGGGCTCCTCCTCTTTTTATGGCTGTTGCTGCTCTTTGAAGATTTATCCAACGAGCAATTGAGTCTCCCTGGCAGTGTTTTCACTGAGGTGGAAGGATATCTTCTGCTTCAGCTGTGGTAGCGTAGGTAGGGAGCGGAGTTACAAAACCTCCATCCTTGGAGCTCCTTTATAAAAGCCACTAAAAGGACATGGCAGTGGATAACAAGAACATGAATCAAAACGAGGAGTTGTTGGCAGCCTTCACTTTGCAAGGTGAGTAAGAGGAGGTTACACGTGTATGTAAGGAGACAGAATTCTAACAAAATGAGTATGATTGTAATCTGTACTGGGTGAAAATAACAAAAGGTCTATGGAGCTAAGTTTTAAGGCTGTTAATTCTGGGATTTCTTTTACCGGAGGAAATATTTTGGGGACAAACTTTTTGTTATTTTTGCATTAAGGAAAGGAGGCATCAAAAAACTATTTGAGTAACCATGTATGAAATCAGCATAAATTAGCTCATTAAGGTGACCTAGCACTGAATAGATGTTGAATCATCCGATAGGAACATTTACCACAGGAGATCGGGCTGCAACCTTGTGCTTGGAAGGGCTGACACTTCATACCCATGTGCAGGGAGTTTCAGATGAGTGAGTCTGCGCTCTGCTTTCATCACATATTTGCAACTGTTGTCAAAGCAGTGCAGTAAAGGGGACCTCTAAAGTGCCTGTCTTGCCACAGACAGAACTAGATACTGAAGTACTGTATATTTTGGGGAAAAAAAATCTGTTTTGTTTTTCTCCTGCTTGGAAATATAATTAGTAAATGGCACTGCTGTAAGTTCAAAGTTTCTAATTGTCCAAATAGCATGTGTTGGCCTTTGGTTTTTGTGCCTCCTGATCTACCTGGGAAAAAAGTGTTTCATTTGTTAGTTTGATTTTTTTTTCCATTGCAAATTATTTGAGAGAAACAGCTAAGTATCCCTCATTCTTCTATATCATTCTTTCTCTTCACCTCTTCTTCATGACTGCCTAACTTTTTGCTCAAACCAAAATGCAACTTTTTTTCCCCTATAGTGTTGCTGTAGTGCCATATTATGTAAGATTATGTGTGGAAGTTACCTAAGTAAAGGGCATATGCAGCTTATGCAACATATAAATAAAATGGATGGTGTGCCCTTCGAGTTAATGCTTCACTGTCTCAGTGAAATGTGCAGCCCTCAGTGAGAACAAACCAAAAAAGACCCAGAGTCGACACCAGTACCTCTATTCAGAGTACGAAGCAGGTGTAAGCACGGAAGGAAAACAATTTCTCAGAAGTAAATTTAGACCAACTCTGATAACAGTCTCACCTTGCTATGTGGTGCTAATGGAATTAGTTTCAAAACAGGACAACCTAGAAATTCTACTGAAGCAGATACTTCCTTATTTTTTATATTTATATTCTTGCCACCTTTGCTTTCATGATGCTGATTCCATAAGGCAAAAATGAAGTGCTAGGGAACTTCAGTAGAACAAACATCCACTCAGCACAAACACTCATTCCCTGTAAGTAAAATGTGTAATTCCTCTCCAGAGGGCTATCATATTTAAATCGCTCTTTAAAACTTGTAAGAAACTTTCAGTAATACAAAATAGATGTTTTGGTGGTGGCAGATGCATGCAACACAGTCTATACCCTTAAATTCTAAATCTTTCTACCTTCTGTTCTTTTTCCTCCCTTTCATTTTCTGTCATTCTAGCTTTTATCGAACTTCCTCCCTCTTCCTTGGCTGAATCTCACAAATTTGCACAAGGTAATTAATGTTTCTTATTTACTGGAATATTTTAGTTCTCAAGGCAAGAACTAGCAGGGACCAGTGCTTTGTTTTAACACTGTTTTTTTTTTTTTTTCCTAAAGTTGCCATAAATTCTTTATGCTCTTTGTTTCTTACTGACTCAATCTTATTTTTTAAGGGTTTTTTTGAGTCCTAATTGATCTCTTTTTTTTTTTTTTTAGCTTTAATTTTACCAACTCTTCAAACGTTTAAGTCATTGTATCAGTAAGATAGGATTTGCTATTGCATATAAATTGCAAACATAAAGCTTTTTTGCCCGTTTCTTTTTTAACTGTTTCTGAGATGACCAAGCACTCCATAAATTAGTTTTCATGATTGGGCTCTGGGGTTTCCAGGCTTCCTGTTTATAACTGTCACACAGGCTAACGTGGGTTTTGTCCCAAGGGTGAAGCTTGCAAATGTTTTCAGCTATGTTTGGACATGCAGTGGTGCCCTTCCTCTCTCCTCAGCAGCCCGGATGATTCAGTAGTTTAACTGTATTCAAAAAGCTGCTCTTAAGACGTTTTCTACCTTTCAGAAATGTGAAGGATGTGTGTGCACCTCAACTTTTAGCTAATCTTACTGAAAGCTATCCATGTTTAACACTTAATCAGTCAATCTCCCAAATACTTTTGGGATATTATTTTGTATTTCTGAAGTTAAGATGCATTTTCACAGCCTCCACTCTTTCCCCCAAATAATACTGTATTTGTGCTTATTTGTGTATATAAAGAAAAGAGCTCATCCTCCAAGTTTCTGCTCTCTCCTTTTCCAGTGTTATTCCTGTACTTAAGCTGCCTCAATAAGTATTTTTGTTTTCTCTTCTCAGTTCTTGGCACAGATAATGTGGAGCAAATAGCGAAAAGCTACAGTGATGCTGACATGGTCAAACATTTGCTAGCTGAGGTACGCTCCTCTCCCTAATGCTTTATTAGTATATTTGAAGACAGGTTTTATTCGGTTGTTGGGAATTCTGCTTTACCTTTAGGTAATTTAGCAAATATTGAAGCACCTGAGGTAGTGAAAAGCTGTCTGGAGGGCTGCGCTATCCCAGAAGCCAAGTTTAGCAAAACTGTGGCTGCTTCACAGGAGGTAGTGAGGAAAGGCAGAACGGAAGAGCTGCCTTACACTTTCATACTGCTCCTCAGCTTCCACCTTTCCATCACTGTTTCATTCAAATAGTCCGTCCTGGAGAAGGTGATGCTTCAAAGACTGCAGACCTAAGTGTATGTTGCTGCTTGGAATGATATGAAAGACCCCATATTAGCTTTCCAGTATCAGCACAAAAAGCTAAACTGCTCTCTAGGTAGTTGCTGTTTCTTTTTCCTTCCCTATTATTGCAAATGTCTGTGAAAAAGAATGAGCTGTGTCAGGAAACACAGTAATGGATGTGTTTTGGATCCAGGTAATGAAACATTAACTGTTGTTCTAATGAGCACTGCTGAAGCAATCCATCGGAGAGTGTGGGGGGATCGCAAAGCTATGATGTGTTGACAAATAGCCAGCAAAATTTAAAGTTACTCTGAATTTAAAATTTGCCTGATCAGAAGCAGACATTTGTTCTCATTCTGTGAACAGAGAGATCGGGACCTGGAACTAGCAGCTCGAATTGGACAAGCCCTTCTTAAGCGAAACCATCTTCTGACAGAACAGAATGAAGCACTAGAAGAACAGCTAGGACAAACTCTAGACCAAGTGAGTGATTTCTTTTCCTTTGTTTTTTAAGATGAGAAGGATTAACTGAGGCGTATTGTTTCGCTGTGATAGCTGATTATTGCTGTTCTCAAACTACACAAATAGATGTAGAGGGCATTGCTCTAATTGTCAGTTTTCAGTCAGCTTTCTTCATCCAGAAGACTGTAATTACTAAGAAGTTGCAAACATAATGGGTATTTTCATAATATACCTATAGCAGAGCTATATTTTTGGAAGCATTTGTTTTGAGCATCACTCTGATATTTTGATTTTAAGCTATGAACCTAGTAATCGCGACAAAATAAGCTATGTGGTTGGCATCTGGCAGAATCTTTCACAAAACAACATCACAAGTGAGGAAACAACCAGAGAATGAGCTTGATGGGGTGTTTACATTAAAAAATACATTTAAATAAATGACATGAAAACAATTCTTTTCAAGATCCTTACTTCATCTTTTACTACAAAGAATCTGTTTTGGTCATCTTTTTCTGGTTATTCTTGCTTAAAAAAAGAAGTTGGCAACCTATAAAATATCCCAGATTTTTATCTCTGGCTAACACAGATGTTTTCTAGGTTAATAGTGGAAAGGATTCAATTGCTGATATAGAACGGTATCCAGGTGATATATAGATACTTATAATTAGCTATAAGCCAGAATAGACTTATGTATTCATGTAAATTTGGATATGTAGAATGCAATACAGCTAAATCTGAGACCTTGCTTTTCTTTTGTTTTTGTCTGGCCTGCAGTTCATTTCATGTGTGGATTTGTGGGACAGATACCTAAGATTTCTTTTTTTTTTCCAGGAAGTTATAGTGCAGAAGAAACATATTAGCAAGCTAAAATGTGTCAAAGCAGCTTGAAAATTATTATTTAAAAAGTAGGTTTTGTCATCCTTTCCTGTCTTACCTTGTTTGTCTCCCTTATAGCGTTGAAGTTGTGATTTTGAGAGCTATAAAATAAACAGAACCTGAATCTTCTCTGGAAATATATATAAATTGGTCGTGACTTGTCTGTTGTTTTTAATCTCACTTTAGACTGGACCTCTGATATTTCTAGAGTTTTGAGGTTGCACAAATAACTTGCTATACTGCTACATAGCTAAAGTATATATCTTAGGCTGGTGATCTTTTTTGTCTTAGGTTAACCAGCTGCAGCACGAACTGTCCAAGAAGGATGACCTGCTTCGTGTTGTTTCGATTGCTTCTGAGGAGAGTGAAACAGATTCCAGCTGTTCCACCCCACTTCGGTCCAATGAATCCTTCAATGTATCACACAGTCTCTTGCAGCTGGATATCCTGCAAGATAAGCTCAGGGAATTGGAAGAGGAGAACCTTGCTCTGCGATCAAAGGTACACATTTGAGATAGATCAGGATATCATGGCCAAATACTTACCCTCCACCCATCCTCATCCTTCTGTTTCTTTTACTAGGAACTGCCACGTTCCTAGTTCTCCTCAGAGCCTACTAGTGTTCCTTTCCCACTAGCCTTAAGATAAGTGAAAGGATATAGGCACATATGTGAGCACCCAGCACAATTTCTTGGACCTCTGAGGCCTTCAGGTCTGTGTGACTTGTTACCCGTTGTGTGGGGTAAATCCGATTGCAGTTTATTGCATTATTGGAATTCTATTGAGCTGACATTGCAAGCTGTATGCAATTTGAAGAGTCTATAAACTTTTTTTTTAAATTATATTTAAAAAATTCTAAATTTTTAAATTTTATAAACTTTAAACTCGTTAAAGATAAATTTAGTTCCGAGTATGTGATTAGTTTTCATATTTTAATTGATATGTGCAAAATATGAGCAGAGGCTTTATGCCTTTACAAGGTTAGTTAGCAAGTGCCTAGACAAAATAAATAGCTGTAAAAGACAAGGAACAAAAGGTAAAGGTTACAAGAATCGCAGTCTTCAGATGCAAATTATCCCTTCTCTGGAATTGGAAATTTTGTAAAATAGCGAAGAGACTTTTTTTAAGGAAAGAGTTGTTTTGCTCTTAAATAAGTCTTTTACAATACAAGCTTGAGGTTGCATGTTACAACACTTTTCGTTAACAAAATATTGGTCTGGATTGGAAACAGAAGATGGAACAAAGGCAACAGGGAACAAAAATCTTGCTGCTTGTAGTTCTAGTTCTCTGTGGTATCCTCCTCTCTCTTTTCTTCCATCTCCATTTGTTTCCTCAGACTTTCATTTCCAGTGTCAAAAACTTTTAGTTTAATAATGATGATGGAGAAGAGAGTTGAGAATATGTAAAGCCAGATTTATATTGCTCAGAAATGATTAAGTTTCTCTGATTTGTTACAAACTCTGCTGTGTCTAGTGCTTACAATTCAGGGACTAGAATTTGTTAATGTGAACAAAATATATTTTCCCCCCCTTGTTTTGTCTGCAAAAAATGTATTTTCCTCCTTGTTTTGTTTCCAAAACACTCAGCCTGAGAAGCGTGTTTTCCCTGAAACTGTAAAGATCAAATGGGTATGTTAGAAGTTCTGTGACACAAGAACAAGGGAGTGTCAGGCTGCTTTTATGCTGTCAACCCTGCTTATGGTTATGAAACTTAGCAGACCAGGAAGGAATTTAGTCCATCTTAGTAAGTAGAACTGGAGTTAAAAAGAGATCGCTGTTGGTATGAGGTTGTATCACCACCCGCATTGGCCTCAAGGTCGCACTGAGCCTCAAGCACCTTGAGCCTGTATTTGTTTGCCCTCCTTTTTTTTTTTTTTTTTTTTTTTTTTTTAAATCTCTAAGAACAGCCTTGAACCATTTATATTTATGACAGTGTTAAGTGAAGTGCCTTTATCTGCAGTTGTGCATCCTTGCTTCTCTTCACTTGAACAGTCTTTAAAATCAATCATTACGTTTTCTGAGTAATTTAGTAGCGAGTAGTCCTGAATACAAAGACTGTTGTGGGCAAGGGTTAGAGTCAAACTGACAAGCCAAATGAAGGTGGAAATCAGTATGTCTGATGTTGCTTAACCTGGTGGTGAGTCAGTCCCTGGGCCAGAAAACTCAAAGGACAAGACGGGAAAGATGCAAGGTTGCTGTTCTGTTAAGAGTTTTCACTGCCATGCTAGGTTTGGCCTGTATCATTTACTTTTCAAGATTTCTTTGTATGAAGAAGTTTTGAAGCAAATTCAGGTACTTGCAGTTTACATTTCCTTGCCAAATCACATATTTTGCAGCCTTTTATTATTATTATTATTATTATTATAGACAGGAGAGAGATCATATTATCTGCATGTGGGCATCTTTCATTCAAAAGACTTCCCCAGCTCAGGGAAACAGGTTGTGGTGGGGGAAAAATGGACGAGAAGATAGATACAAAGAAATTGCAGAAGTAAATAGAAATAAATAAAAATATATAATGTTAAGATAAACATATATTCAAGTATAAATGTAAGTTGCAAAACCTATAATTTTCTTGAAGGCTTGCCATCTGAAGACAGAAACCATTACATATGAAGAGAAGGAGCAGCAGCTGGTTAACGACTGTGTTAAAGAGCTACGTGAGTATCCAGGATGTCCCTTGCAATGACAAAAAGGTATTTGAGCATCCAGTACCCGCAATTCTTAGTTATCAGTGCATGGACCCTGAAATACTCATTCTAAATTACTGTTTCTCTCCAAAAATATAAGTTTATTTTTAAATCAATTATGTACAAAAGCATTTAAATTGGTAAGTGTTCTGTCCAGAACCATGAGCCTTAGTTGCAAAGAACTGCAGTTACCAATATACAGGTCAAAAAGCATTCTGCAATACTAAGGAACAACCCTTGTTTTCTGTGGTGGCTGTGTAACCCGGGGTAGAGTATTTTACCTACAGCTATTATATATGTGCTACCTCCTTTGTGGCATATCAATAAACTTAAGCTTAGATTACTTTATTCTGTACAGCAACCATAAAGTTATTTGCTTTTTATTTGTTCCAGAGAACCATAAAATGCAGTGAATGAACTCCTAGCTGTGAGTTACTGTGGTTTGTGGTTCCTCTGTAAAATCCTCGGCAAGTAAAGTTATTTCATACATTGAGAAATTCAGGAACTCCTGTTTTATGTAATCTTACAGCACATATAAGAACACTATACACTTTAGACAGAATATTCTCCCAAAGGATTTCTTGTCTGTGACTTAAAAACTTATGCCTTCAGGATGAAAAGTACCTAACTGTGAAGTTAATTGTCAGCAGGCGTGTGGCAGGCTTCTTCCTACAGTATAACTCTGATTTCTACCAATTAAACATGTATCTAACAAATTTACACTGTTTCTAAAAATAAAATATTTATCACCATCAAAGAGAATTCCTTTTCCAACTCAAAATCTGTTATGAATGATGGAAAAGCTTCTGGTTTTAAAACAGTAGATACTGGGATATTTAAAGGTTATGTTTGTAAATTTTTAGTCTGTTCTTTATGCAGGCTTGACCAGATATTGTTGTGACTTTTTTATGCTTTCAGGGCAGGTAAACAGTTTCTTAACTGTCATTGTATTAAAATATTTCAGTCTCTGAGGTACTTTGTCCACTTACTTGGTGAGTTTGTTCACTCAAAGGATCCAAAAAAAAAAAAAAAAAAAAAAAAGGAAACAGGAAATTGTGTGTACTGGGTCTTTAGGGAATACAGTTATCAGAATCAAGAGCTAAATGGCCATATGTTTTGCAGAACTTCTGTCTTTTCATGTATCAGTGACATACATCACTATATTTACTGTGTTTTGGGTGTGTTTTTCTTTGGGTTCTTTCTTACCTTTTTTTTTCTTTTTTTTTTTCTTTTTTTTCCCAATATGTTACCTTTACCTTTAAAATAAAGTCTCTTCCTTCTCCTGCTTCCCACCCCTTTCCTTTATCTTGTACTTTGTGTATGTTCCAGGGCCTCCCATTCTTACAAAATGTGAGTTGATTTCCTAAGACTACTGGTCCTTTTAGAGATGCCTGACACTCACAGACCCCCTGTTATTTTCATCATGTGGTGGAAAAAGCTCTCTACTTCATAAGCTTTTCTTTTATTTTGAAGGGCAATCGAATGCTCAGATTTCCAGAATAACAGAGGAGCTGTCAGAAAAGAGTGAAGAGGTGGTTCGCTACCAGGAAGAGATCTCATCCCTCTTGTCTCAGATTGTTGATCTCCAGCATAAACTCAAAGAAGTAAGGGAGCAGGGGGAGTGTGTGGCTGTGCTTGTGTGTGTGCACGTGCTACTGGCGGGGAGAGCTGGGGACCACACCACAGAGAGCGGCACTATCGACTCTCTCGGGGGAATCAGCTGAGAAAATAATTAGCATTTTTTGTGTTTTCAGCATGTGATTGAAAAAGAGGAGCTGAAACTTCACCTACAAGCGTCCAAAGATGCTCAGAGGCAACTGACAGCAGAGGTACGTAAGACTTCTCTGTGTATGTTTGGAATAGAACATGAGAGAAAAAAATAAAAGAGAACAGAAAGTGGGTTTTGTTGGTGTCTTGTTTTTTGATTGATGGATTTTTTTTTTCTATTCACTTCTAGGCAAATGTTTGGAGAAAAAGAGTAATTTCTTAGATAAGTCGATAAAAATATTTTTGTAGTTCACACGAGTCTGAAAGACAAGGGTAGTGTGCAAGCAGGTAGATGTTACTGTTTTCATTTATCATGACAGAATAGCGCTTTAATGTGACCCTTACCAGTTATATCAACAGTACCGTAGCTCACTAGATTTTGAAGTCCTCTTCTATGCTTCTGTTGCATTTCTAGTTAGTTTATTTAGAGTGGTTTTGGTGTATCTTGCTTTGGATTCTACTGTACCTTTTCCTCCTTGGAGTTTTCCTTTGCACTTCATGTCTTACCACTAAATTGCGTGGCTGCCACGGTGAACACCATCTGCTGCTACTTCCATTTCCAGATGCTGGCATGTGCAGTGCGTGCAGAGAAATACAGTAGTGTTGAATCAATATCTTCAGTACAAAACCCTATGAGTTTCATTTTGTCTTTTTCTTGCTTCTGTTGGTGCTTATAGGCAGCACTGATGTCCTCTTCTCTCTTCCAGCTCCATGAGCTGCAAGATCGGAACATGGAGTGTCTGGGGATGTTGCAGGAGTCACAAGAAGAGGTGAAGTTGCTGCGCAGCAGAGCCAGCTCTGCGGCCGCTCTCTGCCGTCCCCAGGCACGTGGAGCATTTCCTGGGGTAATGAGTACCACTAGCTTGGGGTATAGCTGCTGGTAAACAGGGCCCATGGTAGCGTAAAATGAAGAGGAAAAAATAGCTGCTGCTGGAGCCACAGAGAGAGCACCTGTGCAGCAGGCGAAGGGGCTGATCTTACAGTCTCTCAGTTCTGTATTCACTTCATGTATTCACTTCATGTAGTTCATGTATTCACTTCTGAGAATTTTGTGCTTCAGGAAAACATTCGTTCACTTGTCATATAGTGGTGTTAATACAATTTCCTTTTTAAATGACTGTTCTGTTAATTACAGGAATTGGTGTGTTCTACAGCTAATGCTCAGTTGTGCTAGTGTGTCATTCCATGGTGATGTGAATTTTATACCTTGACAGAATTTCTTTAAGAAACAAAGTTTTTTGTTTGTGTCTTCTGCTTTTTTTTTGTGCATTTTTCCAAGTTCCAAGAGTTCCAGTTTTAATGTGCATGATTTATGAGGTAGTCTTATGTTTTTACCTCCTTAGAAAATTTTAAGCATCATCAGAAATACATGACTTTAATTGAATTGTGAGAGATGACCAATTCAATGGAAGAGGTTTTTGAAACTTTTATTTTCCCCCTCTTTGGTCTGTTGAGGTCTGTTCTAATTACTGTGTTCTTACAAGTTGCTGGATATCCTGGCAATTTATCGGGTTTTGTGTGGCTGTTTAATGCAGTAGCCACCATGTACATATGTTTTGGCTTTGAAGGAAGTGCTCTTGCAATTGTCACTTAATTCAAGCAAACAACATAAAGTATCCCCCAAAGTGTAGCTGTTGCTGGTGTAAACTGAACCCAAACTATTTATATGTAGGTACAGTTAGGGTGGAAAGTCCCTGTCTTCCCCCTTCGGAGAGCTAGACTGTAACACGCTGCTGCAAGCTGCTGATATGGGAAAGGCGAGGGCAGACTTTTGAGTTTTTAAAAATGTTTTCTGTTAAGTTGTTAGGAAGAATACTTGAATCTAATTGATAATTCTGTTGGTTTGTGTTTTTCTTTAGGATTCCCTCGCAGCAGAAATTGAAGGGACAATGCGGAAGGAATTGTGTCAGGGGGAACAACCTGTTCCCTCTAACCAAAAGTATGTTTATCAGCTTCATCTGTATATAGATTTTGGCATTTTTCCATATACCTCTAATGAATGAGATGAAACTGAATTCTGGAAATCTGTAAGCCTGGATGTTCCTGCTGATATTTTGTCTTTGTTATTAAAAGAAGCTTTAGTGTATTTGATAGTTTTCTCAGCATTGAAAGCTACCATTCTAACTCAATTCTGTGTGAAAGTTGGGTAATAACTAAAAGCATTTTATTTCCTTTTTGAATTTGTCCAAGGCCCTGAAAGCCAACTCCTGGAGCCCTTAATTCTGAGTAAGGGTTAAATAGATATCCTTGACAGTTCTCTACTGATTATCAGCAGAGTATTTTGTTCTTTCAAGTCAAAGTGAGTGGTAATTCTGATATTTTGTTAGAACAGTATTTCTCACAACATGAGTTTCTTGGGCAATCCCATTTTAGCCATGTCTCTGCGGCCTTTGGGAAGCCTGTTGCTCAAAGCTTTTCTTTGCTATATCCTTCTGGAATGCTTCTAAAAATATATATATCCTTGGTCTTTTTGCTTGGCTCTAGGGTTCAACAGAAGCGAGTATTTGACACTGTCAGGGTTGCTAATATCACTCGTGGTCGGTCGGCCTCTTTTCCTGCCCCGCTGCCGATCCCCGGGTCCAACCGATCCAGTGTTGTCATGACGGCCAAGCCCTTCCAGTCCGGGCTGCAGCAGCCGGAGCGCCGCGGGCAGGCGACACAGAGGAGTAGCTCTGAGAAGAACCTGAGGTAGGGCACACTGCTTGCTACTAGCTTTCTAAATTAAGTGAATGAAAACTAGGTCCAAGCTGCTGTGTGCAGGAGAAATATTTACTCAAACGGTCTTAATATCTACTGTAACTTAATTGCTTTTTATCCTAGGGACACAGAAAAGGCGGATCAGCCAGGAGACCCTGGAGACAGTGACTTAGCCACAGCGCTGCACAGGCTGTCCCTCCGTCGGCAGAACTACCTGAGCGAGAAGCAGTTCTTCGAGGAGGAGTGGGAGCGAAGGATGCGTTTGCTGGCCGAGCAGAAGGAAGAGGCCAGTGGCTGCAGCACGCCGTCAGAAAGCTCCTGTTCCCTGGGTACCAGCTCCGAACTCACGGATCTTTCTGCCAGCTCGAGTAACTTCCGGGTCCTCCTACCAGAAAAATTGCAAATTGTCAAGCCCATTGAAGGTGAGAGGACGATCTATCTTCCTTCCTTCCTTCAGCAGCAGAGTATTGTAATTTAATTTGTTAGATAAATTATTGTACAGGTAGGTATAATATGCAGTAAGAGGGGAGAATAATATTCTGTAGGTCCTGCTTGGTTTTCCTGCATGGCACCGAGGGTTAGACTTGTTGTTATTCTGATGAGTGTTGCCATCCGGGTATGCTACAAGTACCACAGTGCCAGCCCCAGTTGGTTGAGTTGTTTGGATCTTGTGCTTTGTAATCCTGCGCTAATAGCCGGGAGGCCTTTCTCAGCACTTCTCTTTTGCCACCCCAGGATCTCAGACCCTTTTTCACTGGCAGCAGCTCGCTCGACCAAACCTAGGCACCATTCTGGACCCAAGACCAGGTGTCGTTACCAAAGGGTTTACTCCTCTGCCTGATGACACCGTGTACCACATCTCTGACTTGGAAGAGGATGATGAGGAGGGGGAAGGAGGTATAACATTTCAAGTGCAGCCTGCCTTCCTGGAGGAAAGGAAACATGCAGTGAAAAAGCCAGTGGCAGGGATTTTCCTGCCACCTATTACTTCAGCAACTGTACCTCTCACTGGTAAGAAGCATGGTAAGAGTTTTTCTTCCTTTTGCATGCTGATTATTTTGAAGTTTTTAATCCATTCCTGGTGCTTTTGTTATTTTTGGCTCCCGCACACCACTTCCCCCGAATCTCAAGTCATTAAAATCAAAGTAGCATTAAAACAGGTGAGTTAGGCGGGGAGACAGCACCAATATCATTTGTGTTCTGCCAAATGCAGTGTTGGTGATTTCACAAGGTGAGGCTGATCTACTGAGTCTGTTTGCAGTTGGGGTGCTTGGCATCTTTTCTGGAATAAGATCAAAATCTGAATTATTTACCATATGCTAAGCAGTTGTCAAATTAAAACAGCTGAAGATAACTGGCTTCTTCAGTTCCCTTTTAAAAGGGTCTTATTTCATTAGTAGAAAGTGTTAAACCTATGTTCTGTGGGAAACTGTGTCCTGATAGAAGATGAGAGTGGGTAGCCTAAGAGAGGAAGAAATGATTTTATATTAAAATATTGCGGGACACCTGCTATCCTGTGAGCATTGACTTTATTTGGTATTTCAAAACACAAATCCAGAGGTGAGATTGAGTTTGGAGAAAGGGAAAAACATTCCTGCTTTGTTTTCCTTGTTACAAGGACTCCTTCACTGTTTACGTGCTGAGTTCATTGTGACTGCAGTTGGGGATATCTGACTTAAGCTTCTTTTCAGGATTCTAGCTTTTACTAAGTTTTCTTTTGCTATAAGAACCTACCTGCAAGAACTTTGTTTTCTGCAGAGCTCCAAAGTGCATTTGGATGAGCTTGTAGGTGAGCTACTTCAAATAGAACCAAGTACAGGAGATGCAGTCGCTTTCAGCTCTTGTCTCAGAGCAGTTGGTAAATGTGGCAGCCATGCAGAATCGTCCTTGGGTTTAGATTCACTTTGGGTGTCTTATAGTCTCATTGGCCTTTACTGTTTTTGAGATTATTAACATTTGAGCAAAGTAGTTTCAGATTATTGTTTGTAGCTAAAAGTGCTTTAAAATGAACTGATGAGAGTATCTTTTTTCAATAGAAAGTATTTACCCTTGAGACAATACTGTTTTCACTGCCTTTGTTCTCTGTTAAAATATATATAGCAGTGGTTTTAATACTGTCTTAAGTTTTGCTTGATTAGTCCTTTTCTATCTTCATTTTTATGCTCACTGGATGTGAATGTACCACATTGCAGCCTCAAATCCAGGGAAGTGTCTGTCTTCCACAAATTCCACATTTACCTTCACTACCTGTAGGATCCTTCACCCATCCGATGTCACCCAGGTTACTCCCAGGTATGATGATTTCTGACTTTCTAGGAGCTGCTGCAGGAATAAACAGTTGTTTTCTGGCAATGTATGGACCATTTAAAAAAAAATGGGCAAAATAGGTATCAGTTGCTTCTTAGAATAGAAATATGATAAAAGAAATTTCCTATTTAAGCATTTAAGTTTACTTTCTTCTAAAGTACCCTGACCTATTTCCTACTCTCACTGTGGGAAAATTCAATTATTCCCTTTATAATTACAACCATTTAGCATCAGTAATATCCTACATGCTGCCTGGCTGCTTCACTGTTTTTAACTACGTTATTACTGGCTATTTTTATATATATTTGATTTAATACAATACAGGTGATTGTAGTTTATATTTCATATTCTATATGATTTTTAAGAGTCTTTATTATAAAGATTTTCAATACAGTTGCCTGTCATTATATACTGGCTTAGTTAGTTGGTTGTACCCTCTTCAAAACAGTGTGTACCTGTGCTAGGTGGATCACTTGTCTGGTTCACAGCTGTTGACCTGCTTGAATTTTCTTGTTTGAATACTCGTGTGGGGAGTGTTGGGCGGGCAGGGAGGATTTTTTATAATGCCTGTTTGTGGAGCTTCATCTGAGTTAATGTTGGAGCAGAAGAGATTACAATGTTTGTGCCTGGGAAATAAAGACTGGTATTAGCATGATATTTTGCAGCTGATAAGCAACCTGTCAAGGTTGAATTCCTTATACTACCTACAATGCATGTTTCAGTTGTCTGGAAGCTTAGCAAGTCTCCACTAATTAATGTTTTCCTCAAAAGAATAGTTTTTTTTTTTTCCATTTTCTTTTTTTTCTTCTGTGTTTCATCACCTTATCGCCTTAACATTGTTTTATGAAACATGCAATTAAAAGCTCCTGCTTGGTAGCTGTTCTTGGGAAGTTTTAGTCTCTCTTGTTCAATAATAGAGAAGAGGGGTTTTGTTTGTGTGCTTGTTTGTTTTAAGTTAAATAGAGGCATAACAAAACCAAGAGCTTGACTATATGAAACAATAAAATTTTAAAATGTATACGATTTTAAAAATCATATACAAAAGATAAAATTTTATCCTTACTGTTCTATAAATTAGAATAATGGCAGAAACTTCTCTATCAACATAGTATCTCCTGAATATTTTGCAGAGCAGAAATGCTGAAGCTATTAAAGCTGGAACTAGCAATGTTAATACCAGCAGCTTGCTTTCTCTCACATCTTCCACATACTACAACGCAAATGCAGAGCAGGTAAAATGATGTTTAACGCACGTACCCTCCGTGTTGTGTTGTTTTGTTTCAGCTCTGTGTGTGCTCCCTTTTCCCTTGGGAGCAGCACCGGCAGCGCAGCGGTGAGCACTCCAGCCATGTCCTACCGGCTCAGTATTGGAGAATTCCTCACCAACAGAGGAGATTCAACCACCACCTTGAGCAGCACCAGCAGTCTGGCCAAACTTCTGCAGGAACGAGGCATCTCTGCCAAAGTTTATGACAGCCCCATCTTAGAGAAACTGCCGTTGCTGCCGCCCCCTCAAACTGTCCCCATTCCTTCTACTCCACCAAATTCTCCCTCGCATTCGCCTTGTCCTTCCCCTCCACCATTTGAGCCTCGAGCACATCTCTCTGAAAACTTCCTGGCCTCACGACCAGTGGAGACTTTCTTGCAGGAAATGTATGGCCTGAAGCCCTCCCGCAACGCCCCGGACGTGGGCCAGCTGAAGATGAACCTGGTGGACAGACTGAAGAGGCTGGGCATTGCGCGGGTGGTCAAGCCCCCCGAGGCCCAGGACCAAAGGAAGAACCAAGGCATGGAGGTTGGCCTGCAGAGACAGGCCTCAGCTGCATTTTTAAATGCAGGTGGCAACTTAATGGCAGGACTGAGAAGAAACCAGAGCCTTCCAGTCATGATTGGGGCCCTGGGAGCTCCAGTTTGCACACAGTCATCAAAAATGGATATTCTAAAGGAAAACTGATTGGTTTGAAAAACGACTGATTTGTAGCGTGGTAAATAATAAATGAGGGCTACGTATTTAGCACAGACGTGGTTACAGAAGTGTTACAGAAGCGTTGGAGAAGGCATGTGCATGTTAAAAGATGTGGGAGAGACACGTGTTGGGATCAAAGAGAAAAGAACAGGGTTTGGGTTTGAGGAAAAAAGGGCTCTGTGGAACATAAGAAAGAAGAAACCAAAGCTTAGTTTTGAGGCTCTTTCCAGGATCTGTCTTAGTTTAAGAAGAAATGAAAGACTGTATTAGATATTCTCAATATTTTAGTCTTTTAAACTGTATGTTAGAACTGTCTTGCAGTTGCTGTTCCATTTTTCCACCCAGTGGTCATAGTGTTTTACTAGCTGTGAGCAGTCAGACCTTGCCATTTAAACACAGTACGAAAGTCCAGCCAGTCTGACTAGCATCATGGGTTCAAGTTCCTCTCCCTAGTAAACAAGCACAGAAAGCCAGAGTCTTTTGATCCGTGTTATTTTCCAGGTCAGAGACTGCACTGATGCCCTTTTCTGAATTCTCTCCGTTTTAGAAACAGGGGAGAGAACCTTTCTCTGCAAGGAAGGACTGCTTCTGTTTATGAGAACGGAAATTGGTGGTCAGGGTTTGTATTTTGAAGGAGAGCAGTTGTGCTAGTGAAATGTTAACAGAAGTTTCTTTCTTTCCAGAGGCTCTGAAGCACACAGGAAGGTGCGATGAGTTAAGAATTAACAAGCAGGAAAGTATGTAGCAGCTACAAAAAAGAAAAAAGTTTTATTTGCGCTGAGGTAACTTTCCAAAGTGTGCTGTGCATCTGTTTTTTTTGTTTGTTTGTTTTTGTTTTTTAATGAGGGTAGTTTTGCACATACAAACATCTCAGGCACATGTCAGTGTTACAAAGGGAGATAAAACAGAGGTGCTTGATTCAGGGTCTGCTTTTTCTTGACCTAAGCAGAGGACATTCACTTAAAGACAAGTGTGGGAAGTTCTGTGATCAGATGTTCTCTCTTGACAGGTAGACAGCTAGTGTTACATTTCATGCATTTCATTCAGATATTTCTAATTTCATACAGGATTCTGTTTAAAAGATTTCATTAAGAAAATCTTTGGGGATTGTTTTAGATCTATGGTTAGAGCAAAATGTAGCACTCGGCACTGTGAAACAACAAGGGAAATGAAAGCTGGTGTTCCTTATAACACTTTAATGGATTTAAATCAGTTTTGTCTGTTTGGAATCCTGTGTTTTGATGATGGAGAATCATTCTGAATCTGCTTCTGAACAAAACTGAAGCAGGCTTTCTGCCTCAAAAACATGGCCAACTCTGTTGGGAAAATCCGATTTTCCTGAGTGGCAATTTGCAGAATATTACGACCACTTTGATTTTTGGATTTAGGAGGGGAAAAATCATCCCATCCAAGGTTCTATCCATAATTAAATAATCAACAGTATATCATAATTTGTCACTTAACTTACAGGAAATAATAATAGGTTTGCCTGAAATTCCTAAGAGGATTAGACCTCCTAAGAGGGTCCGTGCTAATGACGAGAATAGAAGAAGGTTTTACTTTCCATATATTTTTTCACTGTACTTTTCAGCATTCTGAAGTAATTTTAAAGGTTCACTTCCATACAACTAAGTAAAACAGTCCAAGTTTATCCTGCTTGTTACAATGTATATGGAACACAGCTGACATCTTCCTGGGATTGTGGGGTAAAGCATCGGGATAAAGACACTGATTTGAACCACGTCCATCGTAATCAGGGCCCTTGTTGGCACAGGGTTGTGTGGAGTAGTGCAGGAAAGGAGAGTCTCATAAACCAGTTTATAGGTAACTTATAATGTGGCCTTTCTACTTTTACAGCCCTTTAGATCTTATGGTAACTCTTTGTGATATAGTAGTATTTTCTAGAAGAAAAGGAGCAACCACTTCCAACTTGCACAAGGATTCTCAGCAGAAGCTTGTCTGTCAGCAGCGCACAGAGACATCCAGGAGTTGCCTTTTGCTCTCTGAGCAAAATGTTACACTTATAAAAGGTGAATTTTATTTAAAATACTATATACGGGTTAATTTTGTTTTAAATGAAAACTTTAGTTTCTTCTTTAATTTCTTGTAAGTATCTATGTTTGTACTTCCTTAGCTGTACACAGGGTTTTACTGAGCTAAGTAAGTATAATAATGAAGGGAGGGGTGGTGTTTTGTTCTCCAGTGAACTAAGGGCTGGATATTTGCTGTGTATTTGCAGCTCCTTGGGAAACAACAGGTATGAGTGAACAGGGCATTAAGCAGAGAAGTAAATAATGTCTCAAACATATGTCCATTTTATAGACACTTATTATAGGAACCATGTAACTTACGGTTAAACTTCCAGAGGTATTCCACTGTGTTCCTAACCAACTTCATTAAATAACTCCAGCCATTGGATCATTGTGTGTTCGCAGCAGAAACAGCAAGTCAACTTAGTCAGAATTCCTCTGGCAGACCAGGCTCCTGATTAAAAAGAAAAGCACATTAATGAGAAGCACATTTGTCTTTGGGACACTTCCACATCCCACCGCCTAACAGCGTAATCTGGTTCGGCTCAGTCTGTGCTATGGATGGGCCTGAAAGCGGCTTGTAGGGTGAAGCGTGACCAGGTCCTTGGCGCGAGGCAAGGAGGAGGAAGAGGGCACCGTTCATAGGCTTGTGCTGTGTGTGTGTGTGTGTGTGCGCGCGTGCAGCCAGCGTGGCTCCTGCTGCCTCCTGCCCCAGAGGAAAGGCGCCTGCATGGCCCACATCCAGCACCAGGTCCTTCGATGCAGATCCGTGTGGCTTGGTTGAGGGCAAAGAGGGCTGGGAGGTTTGGAAAAGTTTCCATTAACTGGCAGGTACGGGGCAGAACCAAAAAATAGAAACAGATACAAGGAGAGGGATTATCCCTGCATGCAAAACTTTCAAGTGACTGAGAAATACTCGAAGAACTTATCTTCACTCAAATTCTAAGATGGCTTAAACTAGGTACAAATTTAACTTTATGCCTACAGAGCTAGAAAGCTATAATAGTTTCACTGACTTGGATAAATTCAGTGATACCTGCATGCTCAAAATACCCGTGGTCAATAAAGTGGGAAGTCTCCTGTAAACTAAAAGCAGAAGAAAAGCAAGGAAATTGGGTTTGAGCCTCATTTGGCTTGTTGCACAAGGGGATACCACACAATATTTAAATGGTCTGGGAACCTGGTATTTTTTCATCTGCTTTTTGCACCTACTGTTGTTTCATGGTGGAATGTAAATTTGATAATAAACAATGTATAACATGCCCTTTTTCATTATACTGGTCATCTTGTGTCGTTTGTTCTAGATGTCATTTTCTATACATCAGTGTTCTTTAATAAGCTTAAAATTAGTCACGGTTAAAAATTAGCTACAAATTTAGTGCCTCGTATCCTGTGCACAGGTTGTAAAAGCTGTCTAAGAAATAGATTAAAACTTTCATCAGACTGTGCCAGGCCCTTCGTTGTTGGGCTCAGATCCAAGCAATTAAAGGTAGTATAAATGCACTATATGAGGTGCAGTCAGCCTTCAAGTCCAGTATAAACATGTGATGATTAACATTGGAAAACAGCAGTTAAAGACTTGTTTCTGCTGCAGTTTGAGAAGTTCATCATTCAGTGGAGCCTGCAAACAACCTTGGCTTGCTGCCGATAGGTTCTTGCTTTCATTAGTACAAGAAACCAATTAGTACAATAAAACAAAGTAATGGTTCACAGGGAATGAGAAAACATTATTCTGTGGTAAGTATCCTATAGTTATTTGGCTTTCTTACCTTTCCTGCATGGAAAGACTTGCACTGCTGCCTAATAATCAGTGTATTTATGTGAGTAGTTAATGTGTTTGCATTTTTATTTGCGTCATTTCAGAACAAAAGCCCATGTTACCCGCTTTAATTCTTAAGGATAAAGACAAGTTACAGAAGTGTTTGTCCTGTGATGGAGCAGCATTACAGCCACAGGTGACAAAGTGTGATCCGAGGAACCTCAGCTATTGGTGGAGCTGGGGTTTCTGGCTCCGTGCTCTTCCTGTTGCGTTTTGTTTTTTGCTCTGTAAAAGCAAAGCATGAGCAACAATAGCTTTTGTGCTCCTTCTGGCATTGACCAGGTGGCCGCGGATGGAGGAGCTGGGACACGTGGTGTCCGTGGCAGCAGAGCGTCCTGGCAGTTATGGGAACAGGCACTCGGGGCAAACGCGTGCAGCGCCGGTGCGGCACCGTGCCGTTCGCCAAGCAGAAGTGTCTTCTGCGGCACAGAACCCGTCATCTTGGCAGGATGTGCGTTTCTGAATTTGTTGGTGTTTGTTGTGAGCTTCGGAAAGTGCCGCCGTCTCCAAGGCGGAACGGGCAGGAGCTCGTCCGGCTGCCGGCCGTTCCCGCGGTGACCAGAACCCATGGTCTGCGGGAGGAGAGGCCCGAGGAGCAGCTGGGATCCCGGCTCCCCTGAAGCGCCCGGGCGCGGGGAGTAAGCGTAAGAACTGGGGGGGGGTTGTCAGCCTCTTCTCCTGGCCTTTCAGCTGTGATAACAGAAAAGGTTGGAAGCTTGGGGGATTCTCCTGGGAGTGAGGAGGTTGAAGAGATCAGCTAAAAGTAGCTTGGATTCAGCAGGGCAGGACTGAAGGGTGAGGATATTGTGAGACGCCTGCCACAGTCGCACCCGCTCTTTCTGGGATTACAGTAAAACTGCAGGATAAAACTTTTCTTATTTGGCACCTGCAGCTCTCACGTTTCAATGAATTTCTGTGTATTGAGGAGTGCAGGGAAGGGAGAACTGGGCAGGTTTCACTGTGTAATGAGCTGAGCTGCCTTTCCAGCTTGCTTTTTTTGAAGTCAGTTGAGGGTCATGTTTAAGGAAACATAATCAGCTAAAGCAGAGTATTATTGTTATCTGAACTATCATCTCAATCCGTGTTCTTGATGCATCACCTGCACTGGTAAATGATAAGTAGCTCACTTTTATGACCACTGGAGCGTAGTCAGCTCCTTGCAGAGCCCTTAAAACACTTGATGTGTTCCTGCATACCATGGTCTATATGCCTGTCTGTACCAAACATCTAGACATCTAGACAACAGGCATATCTGCACAGTAGAAGATAATATAGTTGTGCATATAGTCCAGAAAAGGTAAGTCTATTATTTTGTACCTAACAAAAAGTCCCAAACATCATAGTAGACCCTTTGCTGTGTGTGTGAAGACATTTTGAAGAAATTTTGCATGCATAGCACTTGGGGAACTCAAATAAAAATTGTAGATGTATATGCAATGCCTTGTTGTGGGTGGGTTGTTTTTATCACCCTCAGTACCATACTTCTTAATGGCTTCATAAGAGAACAGAGCGGAACATGTTCCCTGCACCAAAGGCTTAACAGTAAATCTGACTGCATCTTCTGCGCTTGCCTTTCAGCACTTTGAACAGTGTTTCTAGTGGGCAGCCATGACTCCCTTTACATTCTGTGCTTTACCAGGATCCCTGCAACAAAAGTGGTAAGAGATTTATCAAATCCCTGGTAGATGCAAAGAACTGCAGAGCAAGGTAAGGAAGACAGATCTGCATGAGAGGGAAGAGGACTCTCAAGTTCTCGATATATGCTGTTCTCAAATCTTGTCTTTCAGCTCTTCTCAGTTTCTGATTTGAGGTTTGTGTATATAGTGACATATAATTAAAAGAGTAATGATATGCCTGGGTGTGTTACAGTTGTTACAGACACTTCATATCAGTTGTATATCATTGAGTATTCATGTTGATGTATCATGTATAGAAAAATGTAAAAAGCTTGAATAATTTTACCCTATGATTGTTATGGGATTGCCCTATAAGCTCCATGCTAGGTGGTGACCTAAGCTTTTTTGCTGTCATTGCGTCAGGTCAAGTATCTGAGTAGCATTATAGCTATTGTGTACAGGTTTTTAAAGATAAAGAGAACTTGCATCATTTGAAAGAAACTGACAAAAGATTGTCAATATAAAACCAGGAATTGTGAGTTCTCCATAACACTAACAACTCTGTTGCTTGTTTTAAAATCAGGTACTCTTCGCTAAGAACTGTAGAAAGTCAAAATAATTTTGGTACAAAACCTTCCAGGATGTCTAAGTAAGTATATGCTTAAAAGAGGAAAGACGCTTCAGTACAAAAGACAAAACCCTATATTCCCATTATTGGTTGAAAATAATAGGAATTTTACACCTCTCCACAACTTACAGCCTTCCTTAGAAAGCCTGCGGTTGACTTTAGTACCTGGAAGCCTGCTTAAAATGGAGGTGCCACGTGGAAGGGCTGCCTCTCTTCACCCTAAGGCACCTCCCTTGGTACCTGTTAATAGCTGTAACCTCTGTGAAAGGTTCTTCCAGGGAAATAGCTCCAAGTAAGCAGAAAGCCCTGGCATGAGAGTGACATGCAATGAGGCTGGGGGGAACCGCTCTGTCCTCACAGGTGACTCTCAGTAATTATTCAAGGCTCCTGAAATCTCTCTCTCATCTTGCTGCCTTAGAACATGTCCCATACAAAATGCCTTTGGCTAAGTTCTTTTGTACTGTGGCTTAATGGAGGTTTTGTTACGGAGCTGGCGAGCAAGTCATGTGTTGT